GCTTTATTCCAAATCCGAGGACTCATTGTTCTGGATTCAATGCAGTCCCATTTAGCGGATACAGTAAGATCTGAAGCAACAAAAAACTTAGCACTGATGTCTCAGTGATACCAGGAGGGCTTACAAAATCTTACAGCTGCTGGATCTCGCTTTCAATACAATTTTCAGGCATGAACTACGAAAGCAGTACGAGGAATGGATGTAAAACGGACTCCATGCCTTCACAAATTCTGGACGAACGAGAAAATCTTTATATAAGGAGACTGCCTTATGGGTCAATAAAGCATGGCAATCAGTCCGAGCTAATATCGTATCAGCTTTCATTAAATCGGAAATCATTGGAAAAGAAAATGAAAGTGTGAACATAGTGCCATTGAAAGAAGTGATTTAGAACAGAATCATGAAATTAACTTTGATGGTCATTTGTTAAATTTATTTAATTCTGACATCAATGAGTCAGATTTTGAAGGTTTTGTATAATTAAATGTAGTTTAAGTAAAAAATTCTGTTTGTTTATCTAGTGTAGGTTTTCTTTTTCATAATATGGTAATTTATGGTGATAAACAAGGTTTACCGAACCCGTAAAAAAATATTAGAAATCATCAGAGTTCATTTTCAGCAAGTTCAAGGTAAGATATTTCTTATTTATTTATTTATATACAGTACAAAGTCTGAGATCAGGATGTCTGATAGCCGGAATGATCTAAAATCCGGACCTCAAAGCCACCAACAAACGTTTATTTAATGCTTTATGTATTCACACTTGATTTTTTTCCCTCCCGTAATAAAACGTTCGGGGAGTTTCGATTCTTAATTCCATTTCAATACTAAATAAAATACCTTGTTATTGAAGAAACAATTATTTTAGCATAAATTTGTGTGCTGAATAATTTGGCTGCATATCTTCTTTATGTACATCTCAAACTGAAACATTCTACATAGAAACATCATTGATTTCACACCTAAATACTAATATTTTATATTCCTGATGCCAACCTGGCGAATCATTATTTATTATAATTCGCGTTATTCAGCATATGGCAACTTGAGTAATGACTCATGTAGCGATGCCTAAAAAATTTTTTTTACTAGTAATTTAATAACAAAGAGTATGGTAACCTTTTATGTTATTGACATTATGCTTCCCGATGATTAAATTTAAATGCACTAAGAAATGTTGATGAGGAAAAATTTAACAAAACTGTCTTTCCATATGCTAAAAGTAAATTTTGTTCATTGTACTCATAGGCCAAAAGATTACATTTAGCACTATCTGAATTAAGAATAACTGATTTGTTATTCATATAAACCCAGGACTGGCACCAGAGCTTATATGGGAGAATTTAGGACAAAATTTTTGGAATTTAGAGAAGCACCGAACAACAAAATTAAGAGATGACAAAATTTTTAGAATTTAGGGAAAGCACTGGTATCTAAAATTTAGGGATGGCAAAAATTTAGAACTTGGTAGCAGAATTTTCAAAAGAGAAACAATTTCAAAAGGAAGTTTCCATAAAGGAGTTATCATTTGTGCCAACGAAAAAGGATGGACGTGTGAAGAATTGATGCATCAATTCACAGAGACTGCATCAAGCAGTAAGATAGTAGCCAGTGCTGGCCCTCTGTAAGCCTTAAGTATATGTGAAAATTTATTTTTTCAGGTCTTAAGCATGTGCAAGAAACAGACGTAAGTATGATAAATAATTAATACAATTCAAGCTTAATTGTCTCAGTGCGCAATAAAAGCAACACAAAATTTAGCAGAACAACTTGACTTCCATCGTCAGTGTCATGATATATATTATATATACCAGACATATGTCATGACACTGACAACCATGATAATAATGTATACCATATTAAATCAAGGCTAAAATTTTACTTTACTGATTCCAAAGAATTGCAGTTAATATAGTAGATTGCGCTGTTCTTTCTTTTACCCTCTGGATTGATTTAGCTGATTACTTTTTGTAGGCTGTTAATATTACAGCAATTTTATGAAAATTAAAGTTTGATTTTTCAATTATATCGAAATAATTCTGGAACTGCAACAGGATCTACAAAGCGAAAGCATGTTTCAGTGTCCATTAAACAAAGCGTGGAATTCCTGCGAAAAAAAATGCATGAAAGTATATCCGTATCAAAATCTTGAGGAGCATGGCATCAACTGTATATGACATAAGAAATCAGAAAAAGGAACTTTTTGAATTTTTTGTGGATTCTGACACCCCACTCACAATAAAAACAGGAAAAATTTAACAAATTAAATTGAAAAATTATTCGTTATGCTAAATTTGATGACTGAACGGGTCAGATAGCATCGCAGTGAGTGCGTACCATTGAAGGGTCCAATGCTGAAGGCTGAAGTCAAAATATTTTCATGAAGAAATGAACTTAAAAAATGAATGCACATATTCGAAGGTTGGTTAACCAAATTTTAAAAATTGCCATGGTAAAAGGCACTTAAAACTTTTATGTGAAAAAGCTTCAGCTGTTACTGAAGCTGCTGAAATATTTGCAGATGATTGAACTCATTAATAGTGAAAAGTTACTACCTCCAGAACAGATTTACAACCCTGATGAAATTGGTCTTTTCTGGTCGCAAACTGGTACATCCTAATACGAGGGCATTTCGAAAAGTAAAGATACACCATACGCCAGAGGAAAAGAAAAGTTTTGGTGAGCAAGTTGGCAACACAGGTGTTAACCTTGAACCGTTAGCTTTCTCCTCGCGGTCGTTCGGCATTTCAACGTTGATTCTGGGTTGGAGTAGGTCGTGTTTAAAATGGCTGTGCCAATTCAGAATCCCGCCAAATGCGAAGTGCGCTCTGTTATACATTTTCTTCATGCAAAATGTCAGCAAATATTCACAAAGAAATTGTTTCTGTTTATGGTAACATTATGAATCGACAAAATGTAGCGAAAAGGTGTCGTCATTTCTCTGAAGGTAGGACTGATGTTCATGGCGAACAAAGAACAGGTCGGCCGTTTGTGATCTCTGATGCCCTTCTTCAGAGAACAGAGGAAGCAATTCGTGCGAATAGACATCCTAAATTGAAAGAATTGCATCAGATCATACTGCAAGTGTCAATGACAAATCTTTATGAAGTTGTGACTGTCAAGTTAGGGTACAGGAAATTGTGTGCATGCTGGGTTCCAACAGGCAGCAACCTTCTGTGATTGTGGTATACAAAAGCATGTGCACCGACTTAACAAAAATGTTTGGATAACAGGGGTGATTATGTCAAAAACTAATAAATAATCCAGTTAATAAGATGTAACTGACATTTTCCAAATAAATGTTTTTTTTTTTTTAAGGAATGCGAGCCATTGTATCTTTACTTTTTGAAATGCCCTCGTACCTTGGCAACCTCTACAGAAAAGGCTCCAACTGGTGTCAAGGATTCCAAAGCGAGATTAAAATTTTAGCATGTGCAAATGCTGCAGTGACGCACAAGTGTAAACTTTTCATAATCAGAAAAAGTACACGACCTCGAGCATTTAAAGGAGTAAAGATTTTCCTCATTATATATCGTGCAAACAAAACAGCACATGGATGATACGAGCTTTAATGAATGATTGGTTTGAAAATCATTTCAAACCCGAGGATCAGCAACATTTGAATTCGTTTGGTTGGTTGCCCTAATTGTAGGCAACTGTTCGGCTCATACTTCATTTAAAGTTTTAGTGAATGATAATGTATCCGTATTATTCTTTTCTTCAAATTGTATGTCCATCATTTAGCCTATGGATATTGGAATCATGCACACGCTGAAATGCAAATGTAAAGTGGCATTTTTAAAATCCATGTTAAATTTTTTGAATAATGGCAAGACTATTCAAGAATTTTTTTTAATATTTTAGCATGAAATCTGCTGTGTGGAGCATCACAAGACTGCGGGAAGATGTGTCTCCAGATGCTTTAAAAAATGTGTGGCATAATTTATGCCTAGCTGCCATATTTCATGGTAGGATGACGAAGATAATAAGCTGCAAATTTGAAGGTTTTCGGATATCGCAAACGAAAGGTGAAATTTTCCAATTAATGGATTTCGTAAAGAAATGTGGAGAAGCGGTAATAAATGAACAGAAATTTTTTATTGTGATGTCACCCTGGTCATCAATGAATTAATGGATAGCGAAATCTGTAGTATGGTTCTAGATCCAGAAAATACCCCTACCTATAGTGAAGAAAGTGACAGAAAAGTAATTGAAAAAATTTCGATTCACAACTTAATCGGAATGCTCAATGCAGCAATTACAGGACTTGAACAATGGAACATTAGCTGAACAAGAAATGATGTCTGTCTATAGAATTAAAGAGAAAATATTAGCACAAAAAGCGAAGCAACTTAAACAACATATAATGAAAGAAATGTTTAATAAAGTAAACAAATATTAAGCATTTGTTGGTAAATTTTGATACCCTTTAGATCATAAATGATTCATTATTACATTAATCACAATTTCATATTTTTAATTTTATAATTTCTACATGGCATCTTACTAGATTTAAACTGATGACCTAACATCCAGAATTCCCGAGGTCCCAATGAGTCCGGATCTCGGACTTTGTACTGTATTATTAATTATATTTATGTTGTAATTGTTATAAAATATTATTGATGAAGATTACATCAATATGGCAGGAGATTACTTAATCGATGAATATTAAGTGCTATGTTTCAGAATGCTTTGCTTTTTTGGTGAACTTTAATTTTTTTTTTAGTTAATTATTATGTATGTGCCGTATACGCCAGGGTGGCTTATCCACTCGAAATTACGGTACTTTGAATTCAGCTTGCACGATAGTCGTTATCTCCCCCATGCAGAAAAGTAGTGTATGATATATTCTACTTCTATGTTACTATTTTCATGTGAAATGTTCCGGATATTTAAAACATATATGAACTGTGGCATAATTTTGTTATGTAATATTGGTTAATTTTTTTCATTTTTTTTAATATATCCTTATTAAGACTCAATTTATCTTTAATTAGGTTCTTGAAAGAGCAGCTGTTGATGTCTTTAACACTGTCCTGATAAAATCATGTGAGTTTGTTAAATGTTCAAGATCAGACAGTAAAGTTCTGAAAGGCGAAGATTTATTGTTCTTTTTACGTAGGTATCTAAATAACTAACATTCCTCAAGTTACACTGTTTGTGTTTATATACGTAGCGTATTCGGAAACTAAGTACCATTTCATTCTAGCGCTATCGCAGCGCTGTGGTAGGCGTACCACACATGCGCACTAGTCTTTCTTGTTCACTGACTTTCAATTGTGGCCATTTTGGTTGCTCTATGTTGTGTTTTCAGTTTGCTGTGCACATTCAAAATGTGTAAGACAATTAGTTCTCCCGCTGACTGTGAGATTCGTGCCGTGATTAAATTTTTGAACGCGAGGAATGTTAAACCGGCCGAAATTTATCGTCAAGTGAGTCCGTTTAGGTTTTAAGAAGTTTACGGTGAATACGCGATAAGTGATGGAATGGTGAGAAAGTGGGTAAGAATGTTTAATGCAGGTCCACGCCGAGGCTCGGAGTGGTTGGCCTTCTGTTGTCACCGATGATTTGGTAAGGAAAGTTGATGAAGCAATTCATGAGAACAGACGCTTCACAATGACAACTCTTTCAGAGGCATTTCCACAAATTTCACGTACTGTTTTGTTCAAAATTGTGTCTGAAATTGGTGGCAAACGCTTTGAATTCGATGATGACACGAAAAAAGCCGTGGAGTCGTGGTTATCGAAACTGGCGGGAAGTTTCTTTGACGATGGTATACAAAACTGGTCACCCTGCTATGACAAGTGTTTGATCATTGGCGGAAAACTATGTTGAAATAGTTTAAGACATGTTTTTCATGTAAAATAAAATTGGATTTTGAAAAAATTGTTTTACTATTTTTTTTTTTTTTTGTTTGTTTTTTCAAAACGGTACTTAGTTTCCGAATACGCTCCGTATTTTCCTTGAAATATTTTACTGAAAATGACTTTAAAAAGAAATAAACCAAATTGAAGTTGTAATCACTCATATCCAGAATTTTAGTAATTTATCAGGTAATTTTTATAAATTATTGAACCAAGTTCAGTTCGTGAAGTTCTGCATTTTGTAAACTTTGTAACAATTGTCAGTCTTTGAATGTTCAGATAATTAAACATTGCTTATTTCTAAAAGGGAAACATTAAAAATATATGAATTGTTAGCACAGATGAATGTGCCTTTAAAGTTAAAAGAAAAGAAGTGCGGAAATGCTTTCCTTGCCATTCCTATGGTCATCATAAGACTGCATCGTTTCATTTCATTATATTCCTTCAAGCTACAGCTATTAATTTCTGTGACTGAAATCGCAGAATTCTAGTAATTTCGGTAAAAACACTTAATTTGTTACTATGATTTAACTATCACCTATCAGCTGTTCTTTTTTAATCATCCCCTTATTCACCAGACTGAATGTCTGTGGAACATTTGCCATTCCCTAAAATCAAATCTCACTAAAGAGCTCCTTTTACACTTTTTTCTGAAGTTCAAGAAATGGTATGAGAAATTACATTTTTTGATTTTTCAATTATTGACTTCTGTGCAATTAGGCAAAACAACAACTTTGTGTTTGGTATACATTTTTAACCGAGCCTCTCAATTTCTAGGGAGAACAGGTGCATGACTCTCTTCATCTGGAGCAAAGAAATTCTGTTCTTTGGTCCTAATAAAGAGGGATCTATACCTGTTCACCCACAGAATTGATAGTCTTGGTTGAAAGCTACATCAAACACAAGGTTGTTGCTTTGCCTCTTTGTACGTTTTATTTTGGTGTATTTCACTTCTTTCTTTAACTTTTACTAAGGCATTCAGAAGCTTCATGAACATGGGATATATAGCTTTGGAAGAAATGTTTCTAGAAGACTAAATGCTTGATAAAATTATTTTTTCTCCAAATCTCAGTTTATGTATTCAGTTCTAAAACTTTACACACTCGCTGATTATAACTGTGTGATGGCTATATAAATAACTGAAAGATGCAAGATAAAGAAATTCTGTTTATGTTTTAGTATTTTTTTTCATTTAATTTTATTTCTGTACTCAATTTTATTCTCTTGTGTATTGACATTCGGAGTTATGTACTTATTTTATTTGTTTTTTTGTTTGAAAGTGACAGGTTAAAGGCCTTAATTTTTGCTATAATAAATCTGAATGGAATAAAATGGTGTCTTTTTACACTCATGTCCATAAATTAAAGGTAATGCAAAATCAGGCAAAGGAAGAGTTAGAAGCAAGACAAATTTGACTTATTTGTAAAGCTTATTTATTAAACAAAAGGTAAAGAGCAAAACCAGATGCTATATGTTTGGTATTATTAAAAAAATTAGCGATTTTTTCCTCCCTGGAGCAAATTACAAAAAAAAAAAAAACTATTTACAAAAAACCAATATTACATGGTTGGTATGATTGTTAATACATTGTATATCTCCCAGACGATGCAATACAGTCCATACAACACCTAGGTATGCTGAGTATCAAATTATCGATCTGATCTTGGGGGATATTACACCACTCAAAAAGCAATGCTCTCCGAAGTTTCGGTAGACATGTAGGAGGAGGTTGACGGGCTGCAACTCGTCGGCCAAGCATGTCCCACACGTGCTCTACTGATTCAAGTATGGTGAGAATGCTGGCCAGTCCATACGTGTGATATCCTCCGATTGAAGGTATTCGCTTACGATGTTTGCACGGTGAGGACGGGCATTGTCATCCATAAACACAAATTGTGTGCCCATGGCGCCCCGAAACAAACGTACATGTTGTTCCAGAATGACGTCCTGATAGACTTGGCTTGTCATGGTTCCAATTTGAACATGCAGGTCAGTTCTGGACCCAGAATAATTCCACCCCAAACGAACACTCCTGCACCACCGTAACAGTGTCGTTCAATGATGTTTTCTTGGTGGTAACGGGTACCTGGAGCTCTCCATGTGAAAGTCCGGCGAGAATCAGGACTGCAAGCTAAACCTGGACTCGTCGGAAAACATCACACAAGCCCATTGTTGCGGTGTCCACAATGCATGCTCTCTACTCCAGGCTAACCGCAGGCATTAATGAGTTGCAGGAAGTGGAACGCATATGACAGGTCTACGAGCATATAGACCAATCTACCCTAAGCCTCTGTACACGGTCTGCCTTGAAATTGTCGTACCAGTGGCTGAAGAGAGCTGACGAGACAGGTCTGAGGCTGTGCTCCGCCTGTTTCTTTTGGCAGTAACTGCCAAATACCGCTCCTCATTTGGCGTTGTAACTCTGGGGCGACCTGTGCTGTAACGTCTACTCACATTACCATCGTCTTGGAATCATTGCAAAGCCTGTAGATGACACTCTGGGCAATTCCAAGCTCGCCTGATATTTCCAGTTGGGTATGCCCACATTCCAGATGGCCAATAATTCTACCACGTAAAAAATCATCCAAATGCGTCCTTTGTGTCATAACTATTTGGTTATTGCACTGAAATGCTTATAAGCGCCTGCGAACAATTTTACTTCTTTGCCTGTATCCCTTATATTACACTCTCGTCATTGTGATGTAACATCGATGTCATCTGGTTACTTCCTGAAATTTGCATATGATTCTTCAAGATGTGTGTAGTGATTTTACAGGTGATATATTCATTTTAGAGTTCGATTTCCGCGTGACTCCGAATTATCCTTAATTTATGGACATGAGTGTAAATTAGTGTAAATTTACAACTAATGGTCTGTGAATGAATCTGTTGAACTTGCCTATTATGATAGTTTAAATAGCAAAATGAGATTAATTTAAATTTTAAAAATTTGATTTTTTTTCTAGGTCAAAACTGTGGTATTGATCCTAAAGAATTTTCATTTCTTGATTATTATTATGTAAGTATATAATTGTGGTCTTTTATTGTGAACTTTCAGATTTCCTATTGAAAACATAACTGTTTGATTTACTCACTTTTTGTAATGTATGATCAAAATTTATTTTAAATTTTATGAAGAATGTTATTGTAACTGAAGCCAGCGTAGCATATGTGTATTTGAGTATACCGAATTTATTTACATAGAGTTTAGGACATCATTCCGACTTGGAACTTCATTAAATAATTTTTGCTTTGAAAGGTTTTTATTTAAAGGAAATAATCTCAAAATTTTCTGAACATTCTTTTCTTAAGATTAAAATCAGTGTAAGATTATTTTCGAGATAGTGCAGGAAGCATGGTGAACAACTTTGAATTTACCAAATGTATAATATGTATACATACTTTTGAAAGAAGCTGAAAGTAGATAGGATGAGTGATGCTAGTTTTTTAATTAATTTGGTTATCACATTATTATTACTTAATTTGATGCTTTATGTTCCAACGAATGGTCTTGGGTGAAGTTATCAAACACTAATACTGTGTGTTCCCAGTAGTTAAATCAGCTAGCTGCATTCAGTTTTCGCTGTCTAACATATGTATAAGCTCATTTTCAATAAATCTTGCATGGCTGCATCCTTCACATTAGGCAACTAAGTCTAGTATGCTTTGCTTTAACAAAGTAATAAGATACCTTGCTTTCTGTATTGACACCATGTTTACACCAAAAAATTAGTTGACTTTCATTATTATCCCCCCAGACTAGACAAAAATGATCCCATAAATGTGAAGAGTAGTATGTAGGAAAGCACATTGTTTTAATATTTTTTAATATGTCTTTAATTAGAATATTTTTTATATTCTAATTAAAGACTGTTATTAAAAAAATATTGAAATTAAATTTGAAATTTCAACCCCCTCAGTAGTCATGCAGTCTCTCATAGGGGCAAACAATTCAAATAAATTTTGTGGTGTCCATATATCACACAGGCGGCAGTTTTGCAATGCAAAAAGTCGTAGGAATTCCAGTTTTTATCGCGTCTGTATCAATTTTATTCTTACAGCTGCTTTACAAATGGCAGCTTGGTACATGTAATTTAATTATGCAACAGTAGTATGTAGATTAAGTCCTCTTTTTTCTGTTGGGACATATTTTGAAAGGATTCAGTTTCGGTACCTATCTTTTTTTTTTTTTCATTTAATATTTGTAAAATGAGAGTAGCTCACGTAAACAAGATGGTTTGTCTTGTAGAATAGGGAAATGATTCAGAAGGTAGCTATTTTCAGATGCTTTTGATTCTGAAATATTGGAATTTGAAGATGGTGATGATTCTCCACAACTTTTAAGAGGGTGTCTATGTAAAAAAAAATATGCCCAGCATCCCAGATATTTATCCTCCATGTTTTCAGTTCAAATTGTTGCCTAAAATTAGTATTTCATTTCAAGCCAATTCAAATTCAGGCATTGTAATGTATTATAAGCATTTTATAATTGATGACATAGTGAATATAATTGCAAAAGAAACTAATAATAAGGTAGCTGAGCAATAAGATAGTGTTGTTAGTAAATGAAAATTGGAAGGCAGAAGAGAATGGGGACCTGTGTTGAAGTGCAATCAACAAGTGCGTTTTGTGTGATGACATTAAATGCATTTGTTCCTTGTGCTTTCAATTTTACAAGGTATTAAGAAAAAACTTGGAGAAAGCATAATTGGACTAAGAAAACATCAGTGGAAACTCAATTTTCCTGTTGAGATTGTCATAAAATGTCTTAAAATAAAAAAATTCTTGCATTTTGTAAACATTGATTCTCATGATCCAGAAAATCGTCCTAACCTAAAAATTATTTACGTACCTCTACAAAATTTTCCATACCTTTGAGCGTTTATATCACACAAGAATTACCCCTGAAAAAGATGTTACCATAGATTAAACTTAGATGCTGCACAAATAGCATTTATCCTCTTGCCAATATGTACCTTTGAAAAAAGCAAAATTTGGTATCAAATATATATGCTAAGTGAATCTAGTGTTGGATATGTGTGGTCATTTATCATATATAATAGGAAAAGTACTTTTATTTCACTCTGATTTCCAACTCTATTGTTTACTTTTACAAATTATAACTTTGATGATGCCGTTATTGAAACAGTGTTACTGCATTATCTAAGATAATTATTTTACTTCGCCAGAATTATATGATAGCCTTTTAACTTATAAAACAGATGTGGTTGGAGCTGTTAGACAGAACAAAAAAGATTTACGTTAGGCAATGAAAAATAAAAAGTTAAAATATGACGAATTTACTGTTTGGAAAAATCCTCATTCTGAAATGGAAAAACAAAAAGGAAGTAACAATGTTATCACTTCATGATTCTGAACTGTTAGTAATGACACAAAGTAAAAAAATAGAAAATAAAGCAAAAGTTCATAATTGACTACAATAAAACAATGGCAGCTGTGGATCTTGTAGACCAATACCTTTCTAGATATCAAATAGTAAGAAATAGTGGGGGGAAGGTGGGAAAAAACTCTCATTTAAAGTTTAGACTGGATTTAATCAATGAAATAATTGATAAATATGCAATTGATCCATTTTTCAAGATGAGGTCGTCCATGGAATGAAGTGTCATGGTCGTTTATGTAAATGCCATTTTTTGGAATTTATACCATCTACAGAGAAAAAAAGAAACCCTGCCAGAGAATGTGAAGTATATTCATCTAAGAAGGGATGCAAATGAAAAATGAATTAGGAGAGAAAAGAGGTATTAATGTGAGACACAGCATACCATGTTTCAGACCAACCAGAAAGATTATTAAATTTTTGAAAAAAAAATATAGGTATTTTTGATGTTAAATAAGAGCATAATCATATGTGGATAATAGTATACATTACTTAAAACATAAATAATTTCGCTTTTCCTAAAAATTACATGTATTTCTTAAATGGCTGTATTGAAACTTTTCTGCATAGCTTGTGTGTGCAAGGAAAGCCAAATATAAGGTAAACTGAGGTTAATAAAAATTTTTGTGTATTTAATTCTTTCGAGACAGCGTACCATTGTTTAAGATGTTCCCTTGGGATCGATGGGAGTTGAAAGGAATCATCCTACAGGATGGGGGGTTGCATTTCTAAGCCTAACTTTACAGAGAAAAAAAAATGTTTTAAGTCCTAGCATCATAATCTTTGGAACTATTTGATTATTACTTAAGCTATCATACGTGTTAAAATTAGCATTTAATATTTTTCTCCTTTTATGCTACAAAAAAAATTGCTTACTTTGAAAAATAATTTTTGGAAGTCCTATTCAAATTATTCTGAAGTTTTAATTAACAAACTACACTGCCCTCCAAAAGTTAAGGAACAACATACTTTTTGTCTAATTTGTGATTGAACCAACATAGAAACAAGAAATTTACAGGACATATTCACTAAACAGTTCTTTAATGAATGTGCCGAAGAATGTTTCTAAAGGTCAACACAAACATGAATTACAACAAAAAACTGCACTCTTGGCAGAGAAAATCCAGTCTTTGAGAAACAGTAGATCACAGTTTTAGAGTGAAAAATGGGGTGGTAACATTACAAAAATGGGTTCTGATACAGTTTATATTATTCCATTTCACTGCTGTCAGTCAGTGAAATGGGAAGCAACAACCAGACACTGAGTAATCCTTGTTCAAGCTCATCTAATGCCTTGATGGAGGACTTAAAGCAGCAATTTGTCTCCCAAGGTAGTCCCAAAGATGCTGTATCAGATTCAGGTCTGAGGATTGAGCTGGCCATTCCATCCGCTCCATACCATGACCCTCAAGATATTCTTCAGCAACCCGAGCTCGATGTGGTCATACATTGTTGTCCATCAGAAGAAATCCAGGACCAATAGCAGCAGCATATGGGCAGACATATTGATAAAGGATCTCGTCTCTATATTTTACACTGATCAAAGTTCCTCCATGGAACATATGCAGGTTAGTGTAACCACCAGGAGAGATCTCAACCCAAACCATTATTCCACAGCCTCCATAACTGTCTTTCCACAATGTGGGATTGGTTGTATCTGTTGCATTGTTCTCTCCAGATCAGCTGATGACCTGAATCACTCTCCAGTGTGAACCTGGACTCGTCTGTGAAGAGAACAGACCCACATTGTTGACTGGTCCAAGAGACAGTTGTCTTGTCTAACATAAATGGTCACTTGTTTCCTCGTGTCAAGAAGAGACTAGCAACTGGCCGTCTTGCATACAAATCTGTATTGTGCAAGCATATGTGCATTGTAGTAGCTGAGATTCTTGTTACTGTTGCCACTAAATGATCTGCCAGAAGCTGAGGCACAATAATGTTACTCCTCTTTCAGGCCAAAAGAACTAAATAATGGTCTCCCGCATATGTTGTAACTCTAGAGTTGTCTGGAACATGTCTTCTAGACACGGAATCCTTGGATTCAAACTGAATCCATAGTCGGTGGACCACACTATGAAGAGACATTGTGATGTCTAGCAGCATTAGCTTGTGACATCCCCATTTCCATCCATCGGATCACCCGCCACCTCAACAAATTGAGCAAATGACTTCTCCTGGGCATGGATAGACTCTCCTGGATATTGCTAATAACAAGAAGATCAACACTGGTGAACAAAACTTACAATTTTTGCCTTTTTTCTCCAACTCCTATATAAGTGTTTCTTTCTATAAATTAAAAGTAGTAGCTAAGTAGCTAATCAGTTTGCATATATTTTCTTAAACTTTGTTACATAAACTGTGAATTTTAATGTTACTGACATTTTTGTAATGGTAAACTTTGAAAAACATGCTGTTTTGATTTGAAATCAGACTTTGCTTTATATCCAATTTATTTCATTTACGAACACATACAGATAAATGCAATTATTTACATGTAGAGTTTAGTATAAAGATAAAGTGATCCGTACATCTTAATGATGAAGAAACATTCAGTATTTCAGTAACATAACTAACTTAACTGTTGCTTGTTTTCTTAGGCCCACCAGCGGCCAAGCGGTAAAGTCGCTGAACACTGATAGTGCGGTCCGAGGTTCAAATCGCACGAACGGGCTGGCTGCATGGGCGTTTTCATGGTTTTCCCCATGTATAACATGTATACGAGCCAGTTTCCCTTAGAAAGTCCTCCACGAAGGCATTCCTCCCCTTAGGCAGATAGCCCTCGAGGCTTTGCTATAATAACACACACACACGCTTGTTTTCTGAATAATATTTTGCACTGCTATATTTCAAAACTTCAATTGTATGTCCTTGTTCTTTTGTTTGTTTCTGTGATGTGTAGGATGATGATTCTCTTGCTTTGCTGTCTGGTATTTTCATCCATAGATTTCGGCTGCCAGCATTTGAATATGCAGTTCATTATTGCTTTATATATGCCAGCCTAATAACAATAACTAACATAAAAGTTTTAAATTCTGCCTGTGTGTGACAACTTCATTAGTTTTTATTGTATACTGATATGACTGTTCTGCAGGTGTCTAGAACTTAAGATCTAGACACCTGCATAATATTATGCAAAGTTATAGCCTGAATCATTATGCAAAGTTATAGCCAGACAATGAAGTGAATTTTTTGGGGGTCTAGTGAGAGTCAGTTCAGTCTGGAATTGAATTTCATATTAGTTCTGGGTGGAAAGAATACAAGAAATTGCATAAGCTGTTGAGTTACTGTGCCTATGTCCAGCACAGATGTATTTTGGAAGACTTGCTACCACTGATCTGATTTATTATTTTCAACAACTTTTTAAAAAATTTATAGGTATAGGGGATAAAATAGATGCTATCATATATATAAAATTATCCTGTTTTGGTATTGATCTGTAAGACTAGTATTAAAATTGGCTATACTGAAAAGTGGAGTCTAACTTGTCATTAATGTGTTGAATAGTAAGTATGCCATGACCCCTTTTCCAACATGATTTTATGCTTTCATTGGGGATTGCGTTATTGACCGTTATTGCCAGTGTTTCAGAATTAACTGAAATATCAATCTTTTAAAAGCTTACTGAATTTTAGATCTAACAAAATGTGTATAGTTTTAGTATTTCAAAATGTGGACTCATTTGATAATTTTTCTTTCCAGCCTCATTCTCCACCATATGGAAAAACAATGATGCCAGTAAAAGTCATTGAGAAGCAATTCCTAAAAAGAAAAGGAAATGTGATATGTAAATTACCAAGATCCGAAAAGAAAAACGTTAAATCTACAGAGGTGAATAAGCTGACAAAAAATAAAGTGAAGAATGTGACAACATATAAGGTGGATAAGGTAAATAATCGGTCAAAAAACAGAGTAAAGTCAGTTACAAAAAATAAGGTAAAGAAGGTGGCAAAAAACATGGTGAATAGGATGACAAGGAGTAAGAAAATTTCATTTCATACAAATGCCAATTATTCTGAAGATAAATGTTCAAAAATTATTAGGAAATCCCTATCAAAAAAGACTGCTAATACACTTACACAAGCTAATTCCTGTGTATCATTTCAAGAAAAGTCGCAGGAAAATTTTAAAAAGGCAGAAAGTTTTGGAAATTACTCTATCATGCGTAAAGTAGAGCTGTCTAGTAGCCAGGTATCATCATCAGAGATTCCACGTCATCATGCTTCTAGTTCAAAGCAAAATGAATTTCTTATATCTGGAGATCGGTCACCTAAAAGACAGCTTCTCAGCTCATCTTTCGACAATGCATGCAATTTTATTCCTGAAATTAAGGCCCCTCAGACTTTTAAAGAAAATGAGTTTTTTATGTATAAGGGTAAACCTTCAAAGAAACAGCCAAGCTCTTCTAACAGTACATTTAACTCTGTTCCTGAAGCTGTAATAGTATCAGGTGCAAAAGGAAACAAACTGTCAACAAATAGGGTAAAGAAGGTGATGAAAAATGAGGCAGAGAAGGTTACAAAAGATGAGGCAAAGAAGAGGAAAAATATTAATGTGAATAAGGTTGTAAACAATAAGAAAATCTCATTTCTGGTTCAGAATGATGGAAATTCTTCTGAAGCTAAAAATTCAAAAATGATTATAAATAAAAATTTGGAAAATTTTGGAAGTCACTCTGTCATACAGAAAGCAGGGCTCTGTAAATACCAGGTATCATCTTCAGACATTTCATTTCATCTTTCTTTTGGTTCAAATGAAAATGAATTTCTTACATCTGGAGGACATTCTTCTGAAAGACAGCATCCCAGCTTATCTTTAGACGGTACATATAATGTTTTTCCAGAGACATCTCGGACTTTAAAAGAAAATGAGTCTATTATGTGTAAATCTAAACCTTCAAAGAAATTACCAAGCTGTTTTTCTAACAGTGCATTTAACTCTGTTTGTGAAGCTGTAATAGAATCAAGTTCGAAAGGAAATAAAATTAACTGTGAAACCCCGCCATCCAGAAGGCAATATCCCATCTTTAATCCATGCACCACATCAAGTTATGAATCCACACCTTCAAGAAGTTCCAGAGCAGGTAGAGTATCTGAATTTGTTTTTAAACAAATGGTAATAGTATCAAATTGCAAACAAAGTAAATCTGTTGTTGTATGTGAAGCTCACTCATCTGAAATGCATTCTAGACCTTCTTTAGATGTTAAATTTAGATTAGATAATGAAGCTGAAGCAACAGTCAGTTCAAAAGGAAATGCAGTGAACCCACATAAATGGCAGCATTCCTGCTATTCCTCAGATAGCAACTCTTATTTTGTTTCTAAACCTGCTACAGTATCAAATTACAAAAAAAAATAAACCTATTATATGTGAAGCTCAGTCATCTACAACTGAGTGTCAAACTTCTTCCAGCATTCCATATCCAGCATTGTTTCTTGAGTTATAGTAATAGATAACTTGAAAAGTCATAGACAAGTTCAATGTGAAGCAGCACCATTCAAAAACCAGTAGCCCATGTCTTCAAACAATACATCAAATTATGATACTAAATCTACAGATCCCTAAAAAAGTAAATCTTGCACATAAAGGCAAGTTGTCTCAAAGTTGTAGACTGGTTGAATGTGAAGTTGCACTATTCAACAAAAAGCATTATCCCATGTCTTCTTCAAATACTACATCAAATTATGTTTTGAAACCCACAGATCCTAAAAGAAGTAAATCCATTCTACATGAAGGCCAGTTGCCTAAAATCTGTAGACAAGTTGAGTGCACCATTCAAAAAGCAGTATCCTGTGTCTTCTTCAAACATCACAAGTGGAACTGAGACAATATCTGATTCAGAAGGATGTAGATTTGATGTATAAAAATACTGGCTATATAAGTGGAAGCACTTCATATCTAAATTTGTTCCTAAAGCTAAAAGAGTGCCAAATTACAAAAATAATTACATGTGTTCAGCTCAGTCAAAAGAGAAACAATGAACTTGCAAAAATAACAATACTCACGAGCTTACAAAAGTAATTAAACTTGTGAAGCTTAGTCATATACTGTAGAGCATCTAAACTCTTCTTCAGATGCTGTATTGGATTTTATCATTAAATCTGGAACATTTCCAGATTTGAAAAGGAATGAACCTGTTATGTTTAAAACTCGGCCTTCTATCGACAGGTATGGTAGTACGTAGTGCAACAGGTCATAAATTGATTGATTTTAAAGCTGAGTGATGTAGAAGGTACTGTCCTGTGGTATCTTAATTAGTACATCAGGTGACATTTTTAAACCTGCTGTGTCAAATTCCAGAAAAGAATGAAATTATTCCATGTAATTAATTATATTAATGAATCTAAAGCAATGCTTATTTCCAAAAGATCTCTCATCTGTGAAGCTCACCTTTTTGTCTTCCAATCTCTTCTTACCATGCTTGTAACTCTGTGTCAAGTGTGAAATTGAGCATTTGAAAAGCAATATTCTAACTCTTCTTTAGGAACCATAGTAATTTTTTTAATATTATTTTCAGCATCTGCTTCCAAAGGAAATAAATTTGTGAAACTTAGTTAACAAAAAGGCAAATTAAAGACTCACCTTTGAGTAATACATTTACTGTCATTGGTTCTTATGTTTATAAAGCTATAAGAGTACCAAGTTCTAAAGAGAACGAGTCTATTATTCTTGAAGCTCAATCTTCTGACTGAAGTTGCATGCGGTATCTGAGGAAGAGTTTTTTTCCTAAACCTGAGAATACATCAGGTATCAAAAAAAGAGAAAAAATTTCTTCCAAATTCTGTGGTGTTCTTCAGATATTATTTTTTTTTAAACAGAACCTGAAACATTTTCAAGTACAGAAGAAAATGCATCCATTATATATAAAATTCAGGCTTCTAAAAAGTTTCCAAACTCTTAAGTCTGCTCTAAGTTTTGTCTGGGACATGTGATGATACCTAATTCAAAAGGAAAGAAATATGGATTTTAAATATATAAGCAGTGATATTCCCATGTCTCCTTCAAGTATTCCATCAAATCATATTTCCACACTAATATCAACATCAGCTTCTGAAAAGAGTATATATGTAATACAGTATAAAAGTCCAAGATCTGGACATCTAGTATCCGGAATGATCTAAAATCCAGACCTCAAAGCCACCAACAATTTTTTGATAGCCTTTATGCGTGTGCATTCCTACATAATAAAACGTGGAGAGTTCCGACTATTAATTTCAAACTGGCACTAAATAAAATACCTAATTTTTTTTTTAATCCTACACCCGTCTGCCGCACTTCTGCCATTAAGCAACGAGCAGCCCAGTAAAATGAAAACGAATGAAGATGAGAATTAAAACTAGCATCATGTCCAGTTAGCGTTCAGAAACAAGCAACTCCAACAGATCAAGGCAAAGAGTTGGGAATTTTATTCTTTTTGTTAAGCAGGATGTTCCACATCTTACCCACAGCTGCATCTCTTGTATGGGGACATTCTGTTATTCTTAATTTTATTGTTTACAACCCTTTTAATGTTATACTAAGGCAGAGGAGAATTGGGCTGAGTCAGCGAGACTTGCTAAAGCTGGCTTAGAGAACCAGCTTTAGCAAGTCTGTCAGCCTGCTCATTACCAAAAATGCCACAATGGCTGGAAATCCATTGCAGGGTGATGTTTTCTCTAGAATTCCTAAATTCAAAAAGCCTTGCTCTACAAGTATGGACATGTGCATTTTCATTGTGTTTTGAATTCACAAACGACAATATAGCAGCTTGAGAATCAATGAGAAACAGTATTGGGATGAGGACTATCTTTCAATTTATGAATTGCAAATGATATTACCACTATCTCTCCATCAAAATTGTCCCAGTATTTCCCAACAGGATAGCTAATACTAAAAGTACTTGACTGTGCTCCAGCACTGGCATTTTTTAAAGTACCTTTTGCTGAACCAGCAGTGTATACATAGAGCCAGTCATCAGGAGGTTACCTACTATATATAGTAGCCAGAACAGCAGTTTTTAATTCACTTTGTTAGGAGAGCTGTTTATTGACATTCCAAACAAGAACCAGGTTCTCCTCCAACATGGTTTAATCTCAAACAGGATTCAATTCCTGTGGAAAACCTGGCAATTGGTTGTAGGAGTATCATAGGTATCATAAAGATCGGGGACAGTAAATGGATTGTGGAAGGAATTGTAGGTTTTTAATCTTCCGTTTGCTGGTCTGTAATAATTTAGAAAGTTTTTTTCTTAAGATTTCTTCAACGAGGTTTATGGCCGCCCTTTGGCACCTTTCACGTAACCATTCTAGTTCAGTCTGAAGTTCCATGGCAACAATGGGAGTTGATTTAGCACCAACAGTGATCAATCGCAAAATGTTTTGGAATAGGGGAAGCTTGTTTTTTTAACAGAGTCTGAGGTGGTTGTTAAAGCCTTGTTTCAATATTCAACAACAGGATGAACATAACTTTTATAGGCTGCACACAAGACATCTTGGATTGAGCCCCAAGTGACACCAGCTAAACATGTCAGTACTCTTGATCTGGCATATTTTTTATTAATGGCTGAATCAACATGTTTTGTCCAAGTTAATTTTGGGTCTAAGTGAATACACAAGTAAACAGCATCAAAAGTTCTATTCAGGTCTTTGTCATTAAACTGAAGTTGGATGTCAGGATGTATTGTACTGAGGGAAAACAATTGAAAGGTGGTTTTATCAGTATTTATGACCATACTATATTAAGTCCAGGTGTTAAGGAAAATTTAAGGCCTGTTGTAGGACACTCTCCAGGCCAGCAAAGTCGGATACCGTAGCACTCATCACCATATCTTCAGCAAATAGTAAAACATTCGTGCCTGGGACAGAACTGGAAATAGTGGCTATTAAATCATTGATCATTATATTAAAAAGAATCTGGCTCAGAACAGCTCCTTGGAGTAAACCTTGTTTGGTTTGACTATAACCTGACGTAGCATGACCATACTTAACACATAAAGCATTGGTCAAGGAAACTTTTAATCCATTTAAATAAGTAGCCTAAAATGCTACAGGAAATCAGCTTCCTAAGCAGTCCAGCTCTCCAAGCCCTATCAAATGCATTTTTAAAGTCCAGAAATACTGCAACAGTGTACCTTCTTTGGAAGGCATCTTTTACCTCTTGGAATAAGCATACAGTTTGTTCAACTGTGCATCTATGTCTATGGAAACCCGCCTGTTTTTCAGATATTAAACCATTTTTCTAGTACAAACTTTAACCAGTTAGCAAACAGAAATCTGGCAGTAATTGTCCATATTTTCAGCCGGTTTTTTTAGGTTTGAGAAATGGTATCATCACAGTGTTTCTCCAAGCCCTTGGCAAGCCATTTCTCCAAGTTTGGTTAATGAAGGCCAACAAAGTTATTTTTGCAGAATCTCCCAGATTTACCAGGAACTCAGGTAGGATTTCATCCGGGCCTGTACTTTACCTTTAACTAAGGCATCAAGGCCATTTTTCAATTTCTCAGTAGAAAAATCAGGATTAAAAAGTTGTTTAAAAGCTGCAGAATTGTTGTCCTGAGGTGGTTTCAGTTAACATTTTTTTTAATTTTAATAATAGGCCTGTAATTGCTTACCCTAGCATAATGACCACAAGATGCATTTGAAATATCAGTAAGCTCCTTAAAAACTTTAATAGGTTCATTTCTTCTGATGTTTTGATTGTTCATCTGAGATAAAATATTATAAGCCTTTATGCTATCCCTCCTCAAGTCCAGTTTTTGTAGAAAGTTTTTATATGAGGAACGCTTAGCTTCAATTATTGATCTCCAGATACTTTAAAAAATGCTTGGCATAATTTATGGCCAGCTACCATAATTCATGGTGAGGATGATAAGATGATAGCCACGAATTTGAAGGTTTTAGAATATTGCGAACCAAAGGTGAAATTTTCCAAATAATGGATTTTATAGAAGCGGTACTAAATAAAGATGATGTAATAGAAGTTTTTCATTGCAATGATGGTGGCCCAATCATCAATCAGTTAACAGACGACGAAATCTGTAGTATGGTTCTGGATCCAGAAAATATCACTACCGATGGTGAATATTTGACAGAGAGGTTATTGTAAACAGAAAAATTTTGATTGACAATTTAGTTGGAATTCTTGACAGAGCAATTACAGGATTTGAAGGATAGAACTTTGTACCTGAACAAAAATTATGTTTGTCTATAGAATTAAAGAGAAAGTATTAGCACAAAACGAAGCAACTTGAACAACTTACTTTGCAAAAAATCTTGAAGTAAACAAATGAATATTCTTTCTTTTGTACGTTTTGACAGCCTTTAGATCATAAATGCTTCATTATTTCATCAATCACAGGTTCATATTTTTTAATTTCAGCATGCCATCTTAACTAGACTTAAGCTGATGATCTAACATCTGTAAAAATCCCAAATCCGGGATCACCGAAGTCTCGATGAGTGCAGATCTCCGAGTTTATATTATATATAAAGCTTAATCATGAGATGTGATAACTAAACTTGTGTCATTTCGATCAACTATAATCCTTGAACTGCACAAACTGGAAAATTGAAAATATAACCTGTGTCACTTTCAGATAATCTACATATGAGTATACAGTCAAAAGTCGTTAATTCGGACACCCATAATCCGGACCTCAAAGCTAAAATCTTTCTGCGCATGCGCATAGGCGTTTTACGCGTGCGCGCAAGACATTTACGACTTCGCATATGCATTTGTGCAAGCGCAGAATACGTTTTCGCGTGTGCGTTTAATGTATAACGGACGGTATAAGCTAAAATTATCTATTTCAGTTAATGTTGATGATTGCATTGTTCCTTAATCTTCGAATTGGATCCGGCTTATTATTTTTTGCAGACTGTAAGAGCAATTTTATAAAAGTACACTTAAACTTTCGATTATGTCAAATAGAATTTCCGATGGAGCTCCCAAAGGATCTAGAAAACGAAAATATGTTTCGATGTCCATCAAACAAAAAACGAATTGCTACAAAAAAATGGATAAAGCCATATCCTTTGTTTATCTAACCGTTCCGAAATCTGTTTATAAATTTCACGCTGCTCTGCGCGCGGGGGGGAGGGGACGTCGCGGCGGGCAATGAACTGGAAGTTGATCTGTCAGCTCTATCGTTATCTTCAGGGCAGATGTTTTTATTTTATTCGGCTTATAATTCCTTACTAAATGTAGTATTTAATCTCGATGTACTCCGTCTTTGATATGATTTAAATCAAATTCCTCGTCATTATAAATATCACTAATACAAATCAAAGTTTTCTGGTTGCAATTTTCTAATTTCGGCTATGCGTAAGGTATGCTTTACGCATAGCCGTTAAAAGAAATGTTTAATAAAGTAAACAAATAAATATTAAGCTTCTTTTTTTTGTAAATTTTGATACCCTTTAGTCCCGACGAGTCCGGATTAAAGACTTTTGACTGTACTGTCCTTTACAAGTTTTTCAGCATTGTAAATTGTATTTTCAAGACATTATATCTTCATTTAATGATACTTGTTGCTTTGGTCTGTAGATGTTTACAGGACTCGCAGGGTTGTTGTGCTACCTGGGAAACATTGGGGAATTTGAAAATTGACCAAAAGTGTCAGGGAAATATTTTAGCCAAAACCTGGAAAAGTCTGGGGAATTTCACACAGCGATCTCCAGAAAAGCGATTTGTCTTTGATTCTAATAAAAAAAATTACATTTAATTTGTATTATATATGGTTATATTAAAAGTTTTTCATCAAAAGTCGTTACTTCTTTTAAAAAAAAAAAAACTGCTTTTTTGACCTTTCGGAATTTAGCAAGAAGATTGCTGAAGGCAGTGGTGGTTTAGTACGCAAATATTGTATAACAAGTTTTCTTACGTTGGCAAAAACTTTATTTGAAAGTTATTAAATAAAACAACACATATTAGTTATAATAGTAATGCTTTGGGGATTATATATACAGTACAAAGTCCGTAATCTAGACACGTCGGGACTTCGGCGATTCCGAATTAGGGGTTTTTCCGGATTATAGATCATCAATTTAAATCTGGTAAGATGGCATGCAGAAATTATACAATTAAAAATATGAAACTGTAATTTATGAAATAAAGAGCAATTATGATCTAAAAGGTATCAAAATTTACAAAAAAAAAGCTTAATATTTATTTGTTTACTTTAGTAAACATTTCTATCAGTAAGTTGTTTAAGTTGCTTCATTTTTTGTGCTAATACTTTCTCTTTAATTCTATAATGAGACATAATTTTTTGTTCAGTTACAAAGTTCCACTGTTAAAGTCCTGTAATTGCTGTGTCGAGAATACCGACTAACTTGTCTGTCGAAATTTTTTCATTTTCAATAACGTTCAGTGTTACTTTCTTCACTATTGGAAGCGTGCATGGGTAAACGCTTTACTGGTTTTATGTGCATGCGTAGCAGACACGCGCATGCGTAAACGCTTTACGCGCAAGCGTAAGTTTGTGGCTTTGAGGTTCAGATTATAAATCATTTTGAAAAATGGATGTCCGGATTACAGACTTTGTACTGTATATATAACCATTTATAAGCCATATTGAACATTATAAATAAATGTATGTGGGGAAAGGCAACGACCATAGTTGATAACACACATTTATTACTATTTACAAATATAGATTACATTAGGATTACAATTAATGAAAATGGTATTCGAGCGACGTCCGTTCCGCTCGCCAGCTAATCCTCGTCTTCTCCCGACGGCGGGAAACACATGCTGACGCAATGCATACGTCACACAGTAGGGGATTAGGGAATATCATGACATAACATTTCCCACATTCGGCCATCATGAGCGGACAGGCGACCTCGCCTGAAGCAACATAATATATCATCAAATTAAAAAAAAATATTATAATATAGCAACATAGGTATGAGAAAAAAAAATAATCTGTAGGATACAAAGCTGAGGATACTTACACAAATGGAGCACAAAAAATAGGATTAAACACACCACAGCAGTTAACTAAAAATAAAAAGAACATTAGTATGACAAAATGAATTAGAAAGTTGATATGAGGAAAAAAATTATTAGAAAGTTCTCAGGTGTCATCTGTCCAAACACAGGAAGGACCTATAATGCTGACAGTTTAATAAAAATCAAGTGATACGTTCAATATTGTTGGACCAGGGTTTCATGATTCAGCACAAGTAAATGTTTTGGATGGTCCGTCGAAAAAATGCACACTTTTCCACATCATATGTGTCATTTTGTTTGAGCCTGGTGACTTTATAAGGTTCGAGAAATTTCTGTTTGAGTTTTAGACAGGGCCAAACTGAGTTCGTTTGATAGCCACGATGTCATGAAGTTGAAATTTTTGTGCCTGTTTTCGTCGCAAATTAAAAGTACGGCGATTTTTCGTCTTGCACTTTAGAGATTTGCTGTTTTGCGTCCTTACGGAGATCGTCACGTTGCTGAATGAATGCAGATTTGATCTCCTCGTCGATTAGAGCAGCGATGTTTATGTCGTTTTGCGATTTCATTTTAGTCCCAAAGAGAAATTCAAAGGGAGTAGAATTGATGTGCTACGTTGAAAAGTTGAATTAATATTTGTTGCACGGCGGGAACATGGCGGTACCATTGCTCGGGGTTGGTTATGGAGAGTTTAGAAAGGACAGCAATAATAATGGAGTTCAAACGCTCAACTTGACCGTTCGATCGTGGAGGCCAGCTGTAATAAGAACGTGCTTTATTCTCTGTGTGTCACAATATTTTGCAAAATGCAGTGGATTTGAATGCAGGGCCTCGATCAGAGATAATCCGTGAAGGATTTCCGAAGACTGATCTTTGAGATTCCAGCCGATGTAAAATTCATCTGTCTGTAGACTTTGTCGGATAAAGCACTGAAAAAGCCGTTACGTAGGTCAGAGTACTAAAAATTTTGCGCGTCTTGAGTTTATCCAAATGTCATCAAAAGAGGAAGAGGAAAATGATCCTTAATTAAAGTCGATAAGTTTCCTATAATCGATGCAAACACGGGGTGTACCATTTTTTTTACGCACTACGAGAACTTGACTGGCATATGGAAATGTACAAGGTTCAATAGTTTTAAGTTTCAACCATTCACTTATTTGTATGTCAACAATTTCCCGTTCAACAAAAGGAAGGCCGTCTAGGAGGGTGAAAAATCGGTTTATCATCGGATAGAGTGATATTAAGTTTAATATCTGTCGTCTTTGTTTTATTTGGGACATAAGAATTCAGCAAACGTTCTGCCGCAGCACGAGTTTCTTTGGAAACATTTGAACCAATATCAAAAAGCTTGGAACATCGTCATTTATTGCAAAAATGAAAGATTCAGGAGCAGTTTCAAAGCAATTGCTCGGGAGGTTTTGAAAAATATATACCGTCTGGTTAATAGTTAATTTAGCATTTTTAATTACATCACATCCTACAATAAGAGAAAACTGCATAGAATGATTTGGAAACTCTAATATTAGCCGGAAAGTCTGATTAGCAATGTTGTATGGTGATATTGAAATAGCCATAATAGGAATTTAGAGAATCCGCAAACCAGTGAACACTCCATAATTTATTTGAAAGTGTGGGGTGGGAACCATTGAAATCCATGTGTTTCGTCAGTAATGTGACCTCACTTCCAGTGTCAATTAATCCAGAAACTGTGGCTATTGAGTATAACGAACAGTTTTACACATATTACCGTGAAGAGGTTTGTACTGTATTTACTTCGGCAGGTGGAGTGGAAAACTCATTCATTGGATGTAGTGGGGCGGCAATCCATAGAATTTGTGTCCAAAACGACCACAAGTTAGGATACACTTTGGGCCAAGAGAACTAATTAGGACAGGACCGTGAGAGGTGTCCTGACCTCATTGCAGTTAAAACAAGTTTGTGGTTTAGTTTTAGATGGAACCAGTATTATTAAATTTCGTGTTGTCGGGTTGTTGGTCTGAATTTTTTCCGTCCAGTACCACGTCTGGAGGCCATTATACGTATTTTTAAAAATTTGATGGATGAGAGATATTTGTATGTCTAGTCGTACTACAGATTCAAGTGCGTAGCTTTCTTGAATTAGAAGTGATTTTGCACCGTAGAGAGAATAATTTTATCGGAGGGGGTACCTAGTATCCTTGAATGGTATATGAATGACAGAAGCCTCGTCGATATACCGTCACCACGATCGCAATTTCCGCCATGGCGATAAATATTGCAAGAGCTTTCATTCGAGCGCATTTTTCTTTTCGCGCTTTAGAATTCATAGACGTAATTTATCGGAAAACTCATTAGTAATACTGTTTAACAGTCGTATGAATTGAGATCGTTGTTGAAACAAAAAAGTTTAGCAGTACCACAACAAGTCGTTCGCAAAAACTATTTTGCTGGTCGGTAAGATTTGAAAATAATTGGAAATATCTTATATCGTTGAAAAAAGCACGGACGGAATAGGAATATTGCCTGAAAAGTTTCTGCAATGTTTGAAGATCTTCAAAATAAATCTGAATCATTCTGGGAATCTGGTGTTCGCGTCAGATAAAACCGGGAGCGACTCGATTCAAAATTATTATTCCGCGTCAGAAGAAGAAACAAAGCGATTGGGCTTGGCGCGTGGAGGGAGGGGAAGGGGGAACAGAAGAACTTAGACCTACGGCCTCGGTCCCGTCTGTATGTGTGAAATGAATGATCGCATCGGATTTAAAAAACTAACATCTAGGGAATTGTAGAAAACCCGTCAGATTAGTGAGGCGATGAAAAAATTTTTCACTAAACAATCTTGATAGCGAGCTTCCCTAAAAGTAATAAATCGCCCATGATATAATCTGATAAAGAAAAATCTTTTAATAGAAGTTCCTTATGTTTTGCCAAATCGAAACTGTCCAGGAAGGCGGCAAAATTTCGCATTCTCTTTCGAGAATAATGATCAAAATCGAAATATCCGAGCACGGTATTAAATAATTTAATAACTCGTGCTGTGCCATATTTAGGAGAATTCGCTATCAATGGGATATTACCTAATTTTAGGGCCATAATTTTAGGGCCATAAACAGTAAAATAGGGCAATATGAATATGAAATAGGGTAGGTATGAATGAGAATTTAACAGTATAAACACAGTTTAAAATCGTAATACTAATAAATTATGAACGAATCAGAGAAAAATGGCCTACCTAACTTCGAGGCAGTCCTTATAATCCAATATATTTCTTGACCAATCGAATGTAATCCAAAATCGAATTTTGATTTAACGTCCAAAATTAGAAGAATGGTCAAGGCTCATGGAACATCATTCACATATGTCGTCCAGCTTGAAGAATAATAAATCGTCGTAAAGGCACGTCTTCATTCACATACTTCGTCCGGCTTAAAGAAGAATATTAATTTGTCATAAAGGCATGTCTTGCCTTTGTTAGCTTTCTGAACGTCTTTAGTAATTGCTGGTGTCTAGGGTTCGATTAACGCATGCACAAAAGGCACGGTCGAGCCCCAAAATGTGGGGAAAGGCAACGACCATAGTTGATAACACCATTTATTACTATTACAAATATAGATTACATAGGATTACAATTAATGAAAATGGTATACGAGCGATCGAGCGAGTCCGTCCGCTCGCCAGCTAATCTCGTCTTCTCCCGAAGGCGGGAAACACATGCTGACGCAATGCATACGTCACACAGTAGGGGATTAGGGAATATCATGACATAACATTTCCCACATGTATATAAATATTTTAAGTCGTATGTAACTGCCAAATTTGTATGTTTTCAAGTGATACCATAATTAGTTTACCGTCAGTGCAGCCAACGCACTATGCAGACACATGTGAAATTTAAAACAGACTTGAAAAACCAAGGAATTTTGTTCTGTTTGAGTGGCAATTCTGGACTGACTTCAATCTGATTCATTTGATCTGAATGAATCAGATCAAATAATCGATATAATTCATTTGAGGTGTCTTGATCATTATTGAAATGTCAAACCTATCCCTTGAAAAACAAATGGCATATGTGTGCAGGGATTAGTTGATGAATAGTCGTCTTGTATATCTTTACAAGCTTGTCCTGTTAAGATAATAATCCCTAAAAATTTCTTCTCCAGAATAGTGATGTCTTTCCATTTTGTACTTTTGTGAGATATTTTAAACTTATGAATATTTTGATGGTAATATCTGTTTGATTCTGTGCCTAGATATGTAAAAAGTCATCACATATAAAGAGCTTTGCTGCTTCAGCTGTGGATTCAGGAACATTAGTCCTGCGAGTTATTTCCAGGATTAACCAAATATTCTTCAAGGACAGGAGGATTCTCATTGACCATTCATCTACTTCTTCAGAACTGCTAGAAATAGTTCTTTGAGTGAACACTCGATAGCGTGGAATAATGTCATCATCACCTTTTCTTCGTTATCTTGACTTTTGGGATTACTATCGTGTGAAAAATCCAATCATGTATCAGCTTTTTTTGTATGAATGGCTCTTTTTATCAATTTTGTAACCCATAATAATAATAAAGCTTCAAATTTACAAAACACGGTTTATATGTTTAATTTACAAAACACGGTTTGTAAGCTGTTAAACCAAGTAGCTGGACAAATTAAACTTCTAGAAAGAAACGGAATCGTTGGCCTAGCAACATAAACACCATACATGCTTATAATGACCATTGTATTTATACATTACCTAATCTCCTGCGTTAATCTACTAAATATGTACTTTTGCGTGACCTATGCTCTAGTGACAGACTGCAAAAAATGTAAAAGTATGTTTCTTGCATGCAGTGTGTGTTCATAACACACTGATACAAAATCCTGTTAATTTTCTAAAGTTGTAACTAAAAATGCATTCAATAACTATAAGCTTTCATCTTTTATAAGCAGTGGCAATTCATAAATTTCTTTCCTTAGGTAAATTTTTCAGCTAATTCATATATTTGAAGTATTATGGAATAAAATGTTTTCTTCCATCTTAGAGGAACTTGTGATATTAAATTTGATTCACAGTTTGGGACTATGGCTCATTTATTGTTGACTGATAGAGACAAGTCTTGCCTTAACTGTACATTTATCAACAACATAGACATACACTACTTTCATAAATCGACCAACTTACTTAATAAGATGACTTAGGGCTAAAAACTTAATTTATAAACCTATTTTTGACTTAATGCAAGAAAATTGGAATTGTAAGAGCTCATTAATTGGTGTTCATTTAATGATCATAGACATTATAGTCAAAGAATAGAAATTTTCTACACATTAAATTTGCAGTTGAATTTAAAATAATTGTTTTCCAATATGAAATAACTAATATTGAATGTGTAAAAAAAGAAGGGGGAACTTCACATCCATGGTAAAACCAAGAGAAATAACCAAAATGTGAACAACTTCATTGTTTAGCAAAGGTAACATATAGCGTGTTCACAGAAGTCCTACCTAGCCTTTATTTGCACTACAGTTGATCGTAGGGATATACTTCCAGTTATAAAAATGTTTTAAATGATGCAAATGTTCACGTTTGTGTTGCATAAAACACAAAATAAAACTTTTTATACGTTCCTCTAGTTCATATATTTTAGAAAATTTTGTACTTTTTATAAAAAATAAAACACGGAAAGTTCGACTAGTATGACAAATATTTACTGAGATATTTAATATTAAAATTGAGAATCATTCAGGGTCTGCACAGAAATTGAAAAATGAGATGTTAGCATTTGTATGCAACTGAAAGTAAAATATCACTTAGAAAAGATTTCTCATGTTAAGAAATTATGAGGCCATGTATTTCTATGCAGATTGTGAAAAAATATTGTTACATTATTTTCTGACACCAGTTGTTAGGTTATTTTCTTCCTTCACATTCATACGGATTTGGAGTGAATAGCGACGATACTTGATGAAGTATCGAAACACACTTTATTGGCCGGTATTAATCAGGACACCTCCAAAATCTCGTTTACAGTCGTCGAACTGTTAAAAACGCACTGGCACGATCAGCGACACAGCTGTCAGGTTATCAAGCTATCACGGTGGAGATGGCTTCACTGCAAAGCACCAGAGTACAGCTCTCGACTCTGCTTGGTTTTTTCTCGGAACTCCACATACTCTCGAAACTCTCCACACTACAACTCGCAATGCACTCGACGACACACAGAGCATAGCTCCTGACTCTTCGGTTCAGTCATTCCCGGAGCTTAACACACTCTCTCGATGATACACTAAGAAACACTTTCGGTTCACTGGCTGTCAACTCGATTGACTCGCTAGATGAGACACCAACTTGATACTAACTCACTCTCCACGTACCAGCAGGGTTTACATAGCTTTTGGCTGGTGTTCGAGAACATTCTGGGCTAAACCGATAAGAATTTATTCCAGAAGGTTCTCCATCTGTCTGTGGCATATTACCAATTTTGCCACCAAATGGGCGATTTCTCGCCAAATTGTGGCAAACCTAAAACTGCTTTGCGGGGAAGCCATCTTACCGCGCCTGTACAGTTCGTAACAATATTGATTTTTTTCTCCAAAGTGGAGATCTTATTCACAGAACATTACAGAATTTGCGGTGTAGAAAATACTGGCAGACTTCAATACGGGCAGGTAGCCAACTCATAACATTTGCATTAACTTTCCAATTGATAAGAGGTTTATAAGATTAGGTTTGCTAAGAAACCCTGAATTTCTCAAAACTGCCATGGAAAAAGCATTTTCTTGAGTTTAATGATAAAATGCTCTAGTACTTTACACCTTATTTATGTGCTTTTAATATTGTATATATACTTTGTTAAAGAGGTAAAAAAAGATATTCTAGGCTGTATATATACAACCTTGTCTATCAGAGGGAAAATTAATATTTTTGTACTTTAATAAATTTTTTTATCATACTTGTGTGAAGGATCTTCTGGCATGTAAAATGCAATGAAATTATAAAGATACTAGTAAATCACACTGACTCCTCCGTGCAAACTGGATATGATGTCGGATATTGCTGATTTTGTAATTAAATATCTTAATTTTTGTTGTATGAAAATCAAACCTTTTTTGTTTTATATTGCTTAACGAGTATTAAATTTCCTATGTTTGAGTACAGGGGCCAGAGTAATGTATAAAAAGTTGGATTTTGTAATATTTACAAAGGAAATGTATTAATAAGCGATACACAAGGTCGGGTAACTCATTTGAGGGCACAGTATTGCCTCTTACACAGATCACAATGAACCTGAAATGTCTCCTTCCGGTAACTAGAACCTTAAAAATTCTCTTTTAATATTACTTTCAATAGCAAAATAAAATACAGTTGCTAAACTGATCTTCCACCGCAAATATTTCCAAAAATGTATAATTCAAGAATAACAAAAATTTTTACTTCATTATTGAAATTTTGAACTTTCTTCTCATTTTGTACCATCACATTTATTGAAATGTATCCTATAATTTTAATTTTGAAGCACTGGTTGTCAGTTATGTAAAATGGACACTCTACTTAAAGACAGGGAGGGAAAGGCAATTTCAGTAGTGGGAGGAGCAAGATCAGTCTGGCGAAATAGTAATGAAACATGAAAAAGGTAAGAGACAGAATTTTTAAAGTGGAGGGAAGAGAGAGATTAGAAAAGTAACGTCAGTAACTAGTATTTGTTAGTATGAAAATATTCAGAGAACCACAGTTTATTTAAAAAAGAAATATTGTGGATAATTGTTGTGGAGCCAAAGTGAAAATATAGTCTTTTCATGATTAGCTCTCGAAATTTTTATTTGTTTGTCCTTTTCGAAAATACGATTTATATCTGCTGGAGAGAAATTTCAAAGCCTTTTAATTTGTCTGAAAAAAAAGAAGAAAAAAAAAAAAAAAAGACTTGAAAAGTCAATTAATGTAGAATTTGAGAAAGTTTGTCATTGCTAGAAATATTAAATATTTGTTGAGAGACATAAGCCATGCACTTGCCTAAATGCAGGCTTTGTCAGCTAAATGTGCTGTCGATCAAATCAGCTGTTGCTTAAATATCCTCTTAGTTTACTGACTTGTCAGTTAAGTGTCTTGGCTTGCCGAGTGCTTAGAGAAAGGATGTGATACTAGGAATTCTCAAACCGACTGAAAATATGGACAATTATACCACATAATTTCTCTTATAATCATGATGTGTAAACTAGCTAAGAGATTGATTCCTAACAGGTTAAACTTTGTACTAGACAAAATTGGTTTACTATCTGAAAAACAGGTCGGTTTCCATAGACATAGACGCACAATTGAACAACTTGTACGCTTGTCCCGAGTAAAAGACGGCTTCTTAACACCAGGACTTAATATTAAAGGTAACCAAAAAAGTTCTTGCCATTTTGGACAAACAGAAAGAAAACGTCATGAAGCAAATAACAATCAGCTCTATGGCATCCAGTGGCTAACTGTGCGATGTCATCGCAGTAAAACTCAGAAGTCTTGGATGCAAAGAAGTCAAATGAGCCCTTTCCAAGCTCTCGCAAGTTGTTGAAGTATTTTCCACGAAGATGCTTGTCCAGGAAATGGAAAAGGTGGTAGTCTGTTGGCATGAGATCTGGGGCATATAGTGGATGGGGTAGTGTCTCCCAGCTCAGTTGCTGGATGGTTTCCCTGGCCTCCCAAGCCACATGCGGCTTCACATTGCCATGGCGGAGGAGTACACCCCTTTTGATTGACCAATACTGGCTCTTTATGCATCAGTGACTGATGCACACGTCCTAATTGCTGTTAAGTACAGGCCTGCCGTGACGGTTTAGTCCACTGGCAGGGGTTCATAGTGCACCACTTGGCGACTAGTCCATCAGACATACAGCATGATCTTGCGTGGGTGGAGAGGTCTCGCAGTGTGAGGAACAGGGTCCTGCGGTGACAACCAATGTCTGGAATTCCTGAGTGTGTCATACTGGACCCACTTTTCATCGCTGGTACTCGACAAATTGCGACATTGAGGTGCTGAGTAAGCAGTGACAAAGAGGCACCAACACTCTTGCTTGTTTGCATCTGATAGTGAGAGGGGTCCCCACTTGATCAGCTTGTATGCCTTTCCTATCTGGTGCAAATGAAGTCTGATCGTTTCATCAGATACCTGGAAGTGTGGAGCGAACTCACCACATGTTTGGCTACTGTCACTCTCTATGGCTGCTCTTAGGGCCCCATCGTATGACGCATTCCAAAATAACATGTTGCGATTGTTCACTGGTGGAGCTAAATTAATGCCCGTATTTGCTATGGAACTTCAGACTGCAGTAGAACCGTTAAGTGAAAGGTGCCAAAGAGGAGCCATAAACCTCTTGAAAAAATCTTACGAAGAAAAAAATGATTTTCTAAATTATTAAAGACCAGCAAATCAAAGATTAAAAACGCACAATTCCTTCCTTTCTACTATTCATTATCTTTATGATACCTATTATATTCCTACACCCACTCATCAGGTTTTGCCTCAGGAATTGAATTCTGTTCTAGATCAAAGCATGTGGGAGGGGGAACCTGGAACTTGTTTGGGATATCAATAAACAACTCTCCTTTAGAAAGTGAAATA